TCGTCTTCTACTTTACCTAAACTACAATATTGGCAGATTCTTTGCTCTAGAGGAGTGCGGTTATGTCTTCCGGATTCAATTCGCAAATTGTGACAACTGATTCTTAGTTTAGTAATGGCAGATCTGTGACGTACATTTGCGATCTTAAGGTAATCTTCTTCATTATATGAGTGTTTTAATAATCTGTACGTTCGAAGTTTATTTTTTGAATTAGCAACTTTATGATACTGTTTTTTCTATCATGTGCTAATGTAAACAATAGCCTGGATTATAACACTCCTGGCTAATCATGGGTTTACAGCAAAGTTGCAAAGTTCTAGCTACTTCCTGGTGCTTATTTTCTGACAAAGCTTACTTCATTATGACTTATATTTTCAAAAGAATTTATCTTTGATAGGTAAATACAGCGTATCGGCGTGGTATAACCTATAATGAATATTTTATGTGGTCAGTTAAATAGGACAAAGACCCGTAAGTCCGAAGAATTCCTATACCTTATTTTTGTTCTCATCTTGTGTCTTGTTAAAAACGAACACGATGAGATATAATTCAGTTTATCACGTGATATCATCGGTGTCATACGAAGAGCAAAACAAGTGTGTCTGCCGTGGAAACTTTAGGGTGGGTTTTCTACAGAGATGTGATGTTAATGTTGCAGCATGGTTGCAGTGATGTCACCCGTCAATTATTTATAATTGCCTTGTTTACCTGGACTGATCCATCGGGCAACTTCTGGATGGGGTAGGACATACATCTGTACACATGCACATATTTACTTTTGAATTCTATGCCGATGGTTATTCTTAACACTCTCTGACTACTACTAAATTAAAATAAAATAAAAAATTATTATAAAATGTACTTCTCGTCAGGTTTGCACACAAACGACAAGCTCTTACCTAGCTGACCCCCTAAAACTTCCCCTCTCCGACCTATTTCTTCACAAAGCCTTAAGGATACCTAAAGGACAATTATCATACAGATGTTTCAGAAAAAGAGAGGGGAAGCGGAGATTAACAGTAGATGAATAGTGTATTGTATAGTTGTAATATATGCACTTAGCATTAAAATGTAGCGGTTCATTATTCAATACGCCATGTTTTGTATCCTCAAGACCTCGTTTGGTCACATACATGTATGCATTTAGCGTACCTCGGTAAGACTGTGCAAATTAGATTCATTATCGCAAATTACCGAGTTTTCCGCGTATTTTCACATATCCGTACCCCTCGACAGGTCTATACAGCTCAGTAGTCACCTGCAACACTCAGTAAAACACAAGTAAGTTTTTCTTTGAAGTACTCATTCTTTACAGTTATCTACGTCGCAAAGTTTGGTGGTGCTGGTTTATTTTTTTCTCCGCATGACTTTTCTGGTATCTCAACAGAAAGTGTGAGAGGGGAGAAACCTGCGTTGCTATGTGATTCGTTTGTGATCATTTACTAACTCCAGGGTAGACTATGTGAGCAGGTCCCAAGATTATATGTCCGTTTTTATTCGTATAGCCGGTATAACCACCCTTTGGCGTAACACACCAGCTTAAGTAACTTATGTAAGGATGGCGAATGTAAGAAGTGCCATAAGTGAGTGGACTAACGCGGTAAGTTCGCATTACCAATTTTGGTAAAAGAACAATGTCCTCTCGGCCATCGTGGTAACTAAATTGTAAAAAAATTGTAAAAAAAATATGAGGACCCTATTTCAATTGAAACCTTAACACTGTGGACGAACTTCAGCCCGATTTGTTTAGCTCCAAAAAGCTTTAAGGTAGCCGAATTTCAAAATCCCCACGCGTACTTTTCGTCAAAAAATTCACCCTCTTATGCAATTTTGGACGCGGGGGTACTGCCAACGTAGACCGATCCCTAAATTCCGGCAGAAAATGTCCATTTCGTCAGCTGAATTATTATTGCACTGGGCAAGCCTTGCACCGAGCGACGTATATGGGTTTAAGACGTGGTTTTCTTCTTAAAGCAGGGTTTCCTGGTTGGTAGACCCCAGCGCGGCTCGACTCTCCCTTTTGCCCGGGGAAGCCATACACCACATTCCTGACAGAGTAGGCACTCGGGGCAAAATTTACCCTGGGGCCACTGAGAGGGGAATTTTCTTTAGGCCCCAATATGACTCTATGAGTTAGGTCGTATCCTTCCGGGAGAGACCCACCGCTTTCTAAGTTACCTTTGAGGCCCGGTAACACACTTTAGCAATCATAATTTTTTCACGTCAGGACAACTGTGCAAACCGCAAGTCAGCGTAGTACATTGTATACTTCACTAAATGTAGTTTCTCTACCATGTAAAATTAAGCCCAAACAGTCCACTATAATCATCGTAATGTCATTGAATCATCCAAGTCTACTGATAATATCCCCTCCTATTTTACCCAATTTCGACATTTTTTCAGTCCATCGACTAACTAAACTTAAGATCAACC